ATATTTTTTATCGGATTTTTTATACAGGCATGCAAGCAAGTCAACGAGCAGAGAGCATGAACTCCTTATTCAGTGCTAAAGTGAATGCGGGAACATCACTACAAGAGTTTATTCGCCAATATGAAATTGTTATGGAAGATCGTTATGAGGCGATGCGACGTGAAGATTTCGAAAGCAGACACAAGACAAGGAATTGTGATCGCAACTCATACCTCGAAGATCATGCAGCTGAGGTATACACTCGTACTATATACCTTGAATTTTATTCACAATTGTCCAAAGCGGAGAGGTATATGTGCATCAAAGTTACTGATTTTGTCGGCCCTGATGAGGAGTACATTGTGCGACATGTGACAGACCCAAAAGAATTTTACACCGTGAACATAAGTGTAATTTCTGTTGAGGAAGGAATAGTTCATAATGTGGGATGCTCGTGCGGCCTCTTTGAGTGGAATGGTTTGTTGTGTCGCCACATTATAAAGTTATTTAATTGCTTCACTGTGGTCCGCATTCCTGAGAAGTACATTTTGAAACGATGGTGTAAAGATGCTAGTCGGCCTTTAGATGTGTTTTCAAATCTACGTGCAGAACAGAAAGGCGAAGTAGTAAAGAGGGTGTTACATTTAAACCATTATGCCCAAGAAATTGCAAGCCTGGCAAGCAAGGATGATGGCACATATCAATTCGCCAAGTCTTTATACCAAGAAAATCTGAGCAGAATTTTAAGTTTTATACATGCAAGTGAACAAGAGCAGCGTACCGGTGATATTGCAATTGTTTCGGGTGTAGGTTCTAGTCCAACATTGCTTGAAAGTCAGACTACACAACCAAGCGTTCAAGTTATTCTTAACCCTAACATTTCCAAGACCAAGGGGAGAAAAAAAGAGAACAAAAGGTGGAAATCAAGCCTAGAAGTAGCAACAAGTGGCCAACGTCGGTGCGGTATTTGTCGAGCAATTGGACACAACGCAACCACTTGCAAGGTATGTAATTGTATCAAGTTATGTATATTATTTGCAAGGTATGTAAATGTATCAAGTTATGTATCAATTTTACTCTTTAACATTTTTTTTGCAGAAAAGAAATGATGAGGCTGCTATTCCAGATCCAAGAAGAGAACAAGAATGAGTAAATAGAGAGGGCACAATTTTCATGATTCCTTGTTATGTATTTTATGTATTTCTTATTATGTTTATCGTGTCTTGAGAATTCCATTCATTTGAAACAATAAATTGAATGTATGTTGACTTGGTGATATTTGAGATTTGGGCAATCTGTGTGCTTTCATAAATAATTTTAAATCATAATATTTTGGATTCGGTCACATTCAGTTTTTTTTATCAAATCAGTGGTGCTCAATTAGACATTTTAATTTTTGTTTCAATGAGGTGATGGTTATATTTTGTTGTTTGCTAAAGCTAACAAATCTAGTGACTAGTGTTGAATGATGCAGTAGTGGTGTTTACTCTTGTTTTTTCTTCCATCCTACAGCCGCCAGGCATCATGAACTGGACATTAATGGTACCAAGCTGTGATACGAAATTGCACTATGAAGTGGTTCCTCTTAGAACCAACTCAAACTGGACATAAATTTATAGCATGCACTTGACATAACTCACACTCAAACGATACATTAAAGGCATAAATCAACGATACAAAAAGTACATAATTCGAAATTACAACCACCGTGCATAGTACGTCCAACTTGCATTTTACATCCATAGTACCGTCAACTTCATTCCATCAAACTTTCAATTCACAAGATTTTGGTACAACAACAATGCTACCAACAACACAATACAAATATGGAAAAACACTTCTCGTTTCTTGTATTTGCTGATTCTTGACTCCAATATTGCATTCTTGGACTGTACCTCTCTTTCACGAACGTTGGCATCTATTACTTCTCTTTGTAAGTTCATGATAAGGCCTTGAAACTCCCTGGCAGTCTCATTGCTACCCATGGTGGCAGTGTCCTTAGTCTCTTCACGTTTGTCATGTAGCCACTTAAAGAACGAACAATCCGATACATACTCTCCAGTGGGTAAACTGCGTAATTTCGGACATGCATAGAATTTGTCTCCAAATGATTGTGCTTGGCGTGACATACGTAGTGTCGTAGTGTGCCCACAATAACAATTAGGTCTT